CCTCCACTCCTCCAGAGAGGCCGCGCTTGAACGAGGAGGGTCGCGGAAAGCATTACTCTTCGCCAGGTTTCGTAGCCCTCCCCCCTTCCAGCGGGGCCCCGCCAAAGCGAGGAGGGCATCAAGAAAATGGGTCCCACGAAACCGTTAATCTCTTTATGTGGGGAACTCCGTTAGCATAATTTTTTTAAACATTGGAAGGATGCAGAGAAGATTAGCATGGCTCCTCCTCCTGCTCCTCCCCCTCCTCCTCCTCCTCCTCCTCCTCCTCCTCCTCCTCCTCCTCCCCTCCTCCTCCTCCTCCTCCTCCTCCTCCTCCTCCTCCTCCTCTCCTCCTCCTCCTCCTCCCCCTCCCTCCTCCTCCTTTCCCTCCTCCTCCTCCTCCTCCTCCTCCTCCTCCCTCCTCCTCCTCCCCCTCCTCCTCCTACTCCTTCCCCTCTTTCTCCCCTTCTTCTCCTCCTCCTCCTCCTCCTCCTCCTCCTCGTCCTCCTCCTCCTCCTCCTCCTCCCCCTCACTACGTGAGAAGAGAAACTGCTGGAGCAACTCCTCCTCCTCCCCCCTCCTCCTCCTCCTCCTCCTCGTCCTCCTCCTCCTCCTCCTCCTCCTCCTCCTTCTCCTCCTCCTCCTCCTCCTCCTCCCCCTCCCCCTCCTCATCCTCCTCATCATCCTCCCCCTCCTCCTCCTGCTCCTCTTCCTCCTCATTTTTGCCGTTCCTCGACGCCGCTGGAGGGCGGCGGCTGCGCTGCAGTCCTGAAGACATGTAAATGCGCGTCCGGGACGCGTGGTTCGTCGCGCGGCGGGGGGCGCTCTCATGTCCCGCTCTTGTGCCTCCTTGTTTTCTTCCTTGGAAATTGGTTTAGCTGCCCCTCGCCTCAGGCGACCCGGGCAGAATGGTGTTGTTTGTGTTGGTGTCCAAGTTTGGGCGTGCCATCTCTCCGTCGGCCACATTTGGGCGCGTTCAGCTGTTCCGCCACTCTCCTCACCTTCGTCCCGCGGGGCGGCGCCCGCCCCACGTGGGAAACCCTCGTTTGTGCGGTTGCAACCAGGTGTTCTTTTTCCATGTATGCAGTCTGCAGACCCCCACACTGAATCAACATCCCTGAACGTGCAAACATCCAGCCAACTAAAGCCCTTTTGTAGCAGCCTTTAATTACCAACGATTCCTTGTGTGGTGAGCTTGCATATGGATATTCATGGTTGGGGATGTTCAGTGGCTTCCACACTTCAACCCTTTTATAGCAGCCTGTACACCGGGATGCATGTCGTGGCGGCCTTGCAAAAGGGTTTCAATTGTGGGGGATCTGCAGTGGCGGCACCTTGAGCCCAAGAATGCTACATAAGGAAACAGGAGCACCAGGAACAACAGTGAAACGCTTGCGTTTCCATATGAAATAGGACAACAGCTAGGAACACCTGTGCCTGTCGGTATTTTCATGGTGCAGACCCCCCGCAACGAAAATCCTCTTGTAGCAGCCTTTACCAAACGTTTCCTTGTGTAGCGATCTGACAATCGGGTTTTTAAGTGTGGAGGATCTGCAGTTGCTTACAGACTTAGAACCCATTGGTAGCAGTCTGTAAAGTGGGATTCCTTGTGTGGCGGCCCTGCAAAAGGATTTCACGTGTGGGGGATCTGCAGTGGCGGCACCTTGAGCCCAGGAAAGCTACACATGAAAACAGGAACAACAGGAAAGACAAGACACACAGTGAAACGTTTGTATCTGCACATGGGGAATGTGAATGTTCTAGGCGAGAGACCGAATCCTATGCAGTTGTGAATGCCGCCGCTGTGGGAACCGCCCCCGGTGGAGCTCCCTATGGGCAAGACGCGCGCGAAGGGTGCGCCGCAAGGGGGCGGGTGCCATGCGAGCGCTGCCTCTGGGGCGTTCGGTGGAGCTCCCCATGTGACCGCGAAGCGTATGCGGGGTGTGCCGACGTGGAGGGGTGCGGCATGCAATTCATGTCGCTGGGGCCTTCGGTGGAGCGCCTTGTGCTGCCACGAAATGTATGGTATATGTGTGTATGTGTGCTTGTGTGTGTGCGTGTGTGTATGTGCCAAAATGGGGTGGGCGGCGTGAGAACCATGCTACTGGAGTCTTCGGTCGAGCTTTCATGGGGGCACAGCACAAAACGTCTGAGGAGTGCGCCGCAGCGAGGGGGGTGACGTGAGGAGGGAGGAGGGGGGAGGAGGATGAGGAGACTGAACTCTGGGCGCTGCCTTTTCAAAACGAGAACCCAGCACCACAGGATGGTTGGAAAACAGCTGGGACACTATGTGATTGTCTTTATCAGCTATGGTGCGTAGGTCTCACAGTTCAAACTTTGCTGCAGCAGCTTTTACAACAGGACTTCATCCCACCGAAGGTTTTTCATTGTGGTGGATCGGCAGTGGCTTCCACACTTCGAGTCCTTTTGTAGGAGCCTGTGCAGCAGTATTCCTTGTGTGGCGGCCTTGCAGCACGGTTTCATTTGTCGGGGATCTGCAGTGGCCGCACGATGAGCCCAGGAATGCTAAAGAGGAGCACCGGATCAACAACACCATACACCTCAACAACAAGTTTAAGACATAGCTAGGGCAGCTTGCGACTGTCGCTTTCATGGCGCAGATGCCCCACTTTTTGGGTCCTTCTGCAGTCGCATTTGCAAACGGGATTCGCTTTGTGGAGATGTTACACCATGATTTCAATTGTCGGGGATCTGCAGTGCCGTCCACGCTTCGAATAGTTTTGCCGCAGCCTGTGCAACAGGGATTCTGTTGTGGCGGTCTTACGAACAGGGTTTCTATTGCTTTGGATCTGCAGTGGCGGCAACCTGAGCCCAGGAACGCTAACGAGGAACAGGAACTACAGGAACACGCAGTAAGAAACTTGCGTTCTGACTGGGGTAAGTTAGAAGAAGCTGGAGCAACCTGCGACTGCCGCGGTTTTTGGTCGGAGCAGACGCCCCACACTTGAAATCCGTGTATAGCAGTTGTTGCAAAAGGAAACCGCCTGTTGCGATCTTACAACATATCCCACCTGTAGAGTCTGGTACAAAAGAGCGTAATTTCGGAAGCCACAGCAGATCCCCCACAATCAACATCCTTTTGCACGATCTCCACGAAACGGAACCCGTGTGTAAAGACAGCGACTGAACGATTCAACGTGTATGGCGTCTGCATTTTTCAACCAGGGTCAGCCACAGGCTGTCCTAGCGTTTGTTGTTCCGCCCTGCGAACACAAACGCGTTTTAATGTGTTGTTTTTGTTGTTTTTCCTGTTTTCCTCTGTAGCGTTCGTGGGCTCAAGGTGTCGCCACTGCAGGTCCCAGACAGTTCGACCCTTTTTTGCAAGGTCGCCACACACGGAATCTCTTTTTACATGTAGTTTCCAAGCGGTTCTGAGTGTGGAAGCCATTGCAGATCCCCCATTCTAGAAATCCGATTGTTAGATCGCAACACAGGAAAGCGTTTGGTATTGGCTTCTACAAACAGATTTGGTGTGTGTGTGGCGTCTGCGTCATTAGACAATGGCGACAATCACAGGTTCTCATAGCGTTGCCCTATCTTCCTTGCGACAGCAAGCGCGTGATAATATTCGTTTGTTTTGTCTCATATTCCTCTGTAGCTTTCCTGGGCTCGAGGTGCCGAGACTGCAGACCCCCCACAGTAGGAATCCTTTTTTTCTAGGGCCCCACACAAGGAATTCTTCCTTTGCAGGTTGCTACACAAGAATTCTAATAGTGGTAGCCGCTGCAGATCTCCCCACATTGAAGATTATGTTGTGAGGCATCCACAGTTTTTTTTTGCAGAGGCTGCTACAAAAGGACTTCAGGTGTGGAGGCCGCTGCAGACCGCCACAGTTTGAATCCTGTCCTCGGTCGCCACAAGGATAACCTTTTTGCAAAGGCTGCAACATTATCTTTGGATGGAAACCTGCCTTAAGTTGCATCCTTTCGCAAGGCCATCACAAAGGAATTAATCAGCACGGCCGCCATGGGTAATGGTGATGAGGATGAGGATGAGGATGAGGATGACGAGGATGAGGATGAGTATGATCATGCTGCTGATGATGCTGATGCTGATGATGGTGCTGGTTTTAGTTTTGGTGGCGATGATGATGATGGTGATGATAATGGTGGTGGTGATGATGCTGATGCTGATGCGGATGTTGATGCGGATCATCATGCTGATGTTGTTGTTGATGATGATGATGCTGATGATGATGATGCTGATTATGATTATGATGATGATGATGATGATGATGATGATGATGCTGATGATGATGATGATGATGGTGGTGGTGGTGGTGGTGATGATGATGATGATGATGATGATGCTGAAGCTGATGATGATGTTTATGATGATGCTGATGCTGGTGCTGATGCTGATGCCGACGAACATGATGCTTGGTGGTGAGAGATTATCTTTGTTCTAATCCTACAGACAAGGGTCGCACCGCCCCCTCCCCCTGGCCGCAGGACTGAGCCCAGCGGCGGCCGGCCCAGCAGTGGCGCGAGCTTCCGCGGGCGCGGGGGCGGCACCAGCCGGGCGGCTCCGGCGGCGGCCCGCTCGCTGCCCGGGGTGCGAGTCGCGAGGCCGCCACGCAGGAGCGGTCGCCACGAGGGGGCCAAGGGGCTGGGCGTATCGGGCCATCCGTGATCGGGGCTCCTCGTCGGAGACTGCAGAGCGTAGGGGCCGCATGCGAACCCTACCCCTACCCCCCACGATTTCTGAGGGGGAGGGTGGGGTTCACTTCGCTATTGGGAGCTCCCGAACGAAGTGAACCCCACCCTCCCCCTCAGAAATCATTGGGGGTAGGGGCAGGGTTCGCATGTGGCCAGGGTGTGGTTTGCGATCGGCAGCGCTGGGGCCTGGGGGTACGGCGCTGTCCTCGTCGGGCCGCCTCGGGGCGCGGTGGACAGCCTCTGTCGAGGCCCTCGCCCGCCCCCCGGGGTGCCCCCCCCGGATGCCGGCTGCAAGCTGCACATCCTTTGCAATCCACACCCCTCGGAGCCGCCGAGCCTTGTTGGGCCATCCGACAGCTCCCTGTCGGGCCATCCGTGTTCGCAGCGCCTGGCGGGTGGAGGTTGGCCTGTCTGAAGTTCCTCGTCGGGCCATCCCTCATCTCATGCGCTGGCGCTTTTCGCCTGCTTTGACCTTTGCTCTCTAACCAGCTTGCTCCAGGTCAACCCGCTGGTTGGAGAAGGAGTGCGTTACTTGCCCGAGTCCAGGCCTCACAGTTTGGGTCGAAGTAGATGGGGTCGAAGGATCGCGCCGCAGTGCCGAGGCATCGTCGATGTGGCTCGATGTGGATCCCGATCTTCTTCGCGCCTGCGTCGCCAGCATACCGCCGACATCTCCGATGTATCGCCGATGCATCGGCGATGCATCGGCGATGCGGCGCGTTTCTCCGATCCCATCTGCTCGGACCCCATCGAGGAGGGCTTTACTAAAAAGGTCGCCACGAAGGAAAGAGATCACGACGGGAAGTTATTCGGCCCTTCCTGGGCCCTCGCTGGGCCTTGGGGCCGTCGAGAAGCAGCACGTGACGAGAATCCGGTCCTTGGGAAGGGGTCCAGACCTGTCGGGGTCGACGATGTGAACACATCACGATATTGGAGTTCTGGATTTGCCCATAACCACCGCCTGGGGGATCGATATTCGGGGACCTCGGCAGGCAGTGGATACGTATATCATATCAGAGTAAGGGGGCCGAATTGTCATTCACTGTCCCCGAGCGCGTAGCTAAAGGAAGGTTCCGCGGTGCGGATTGTTGTTTCGTTGTTTGTTGCTTTTTGTGTATTTTCGTCGTCCCGCCCGCGACCCACCCGCGACCTACCCACGATCCACCCGCGACCCACCCGCGACCCACCCGCGACCCATCCTGGGACCCACCCGCGATCCACCCCGCGAGAGCCGCCCGCAAACCACCCGCGACCCACCCGCGACCCCTTCGCGACCTACCCGCGACCCACCCACATTGCTTGGACGAAAACATCGGCGCCTGCGGCGGGTCCGTGGTACGATCAGTCTACATTCTAGGCGCCTGCTGCGGGCTTTTCTGGAGCCTCGCAGACTGCCGACGCCCTCCGCCCGCCCCCATCGCTCTTCTCCGCAGCCGCGGGGTGCTGCGTGTGCTTGCCCCTTCCCGGGGCCCGAGCACCACCCGTGCCCACCCCCACCGCGTGCCGAACTCCCCGAGAAGATCGATATCCCCCTGGGCGGGGTCAGTCATGGACAAACTCTCGCCTCGCAAGCGCGGACCCCAGACTGAAGTCGCGCACGTCCCTCTACAGGAGGCATTGTCAAAAATAGTAGAAAGAATACTATGGGGACGACTGATACCAGTCGGGGCTCTTGTGTCAGATATAGCTGAACAGATCGAGTACTCGAGCACACAAGTGGACTTAGGGAATTTATCGCTGCAATTATTTATGGAAAAAGATGTTCCCAATAAGTTATCTGTTCTGAAAAAAGTCCCAAATAAGTTCCGTAAGTTCCCGAGCCCCTCTACCCGCCGCGGCCCTTCGGGCTCGTCCTTGAATGGGTTGTGCAATGGAGGAGGGAGGCGGACTAGGAGGCGGAGTGGGAGGATCAAGAGAGTGAGAGTGATGATGATGATGCTGATGATGATGATGTTGGTGATGATGATGAGACGGATGAGGATGATCATGCTGATGATGATGATGATGATCATGATGATGATGATGATGATGATGATGATGATGATGGCGGTGATGATGACGGTGATGGTGATGGTGATGTTGATGATTGACGATGCTTTATCCCGCCCTCAATTAGACTCCGAGCGTGGGTCGACCCATTCGGTGGTGACCTCGAGGGTCACTTTGAACGCGGCCCTCTTTGGGTGCCTGTAGTCGTACTGGTCGACGTCGGGACTTGGTGGCCCTCCTGAACCATACATCGTCAGGAAGGCCTTCTTCAACCATGGGTTGGACACGTCCTCGATGCACTTCCACTCCTGCTCGACCTTCTTGACCCGTTTCTCGGGCGGCTGGAAAATCTGGATCAGGTAGTCGCCGCCGCGCTCGGGCTTCTTGTCGGGTTCGGCGCGCGCGGCCTCTCTCGGCGGGCTCGGAGGCGGCCCCTCGGGAGTCCACGGGGCGGGCGTCTCGGCCTCGGCCTTTGCCATGGCGCGAAGGGCCTCGGCCTCTTGCGCGGCTCTCGTCGGCGGGGGAGTGCGCGGGGCGCTGGGTGACATGGCGAGCGGGGGAGTGTGCGGGGCCTGGGGTGATATCAGGCCGCAGCTTTGGGCACTGGCAAAGGTATGCACACATATATGGGGTCAGCACCGCTTCAGCGGGTGAGCCGCTGTGGCAAACCAAAATGACGATGCCAAAAAGGCGGATGTCTGTGATTGTGATGATGTCGATGCGGGTGTAGGAAGGAGGAATGACATTTTTTGCCCAACCATCCTGTGGTGTTGGGCCCTCGTCGTCGTCGTCGTCCTCCTTGGCCCCTCGGGCTCGTCCTTGAATGGGTTGTGCAATGGAGGAGGGAGGAGGAATAGGAGGCGGAGTGGGAGGATCAAGAGAGTGAGAGTGATGATGATGATGCTGATGATGATGATGTTGATGACGATGAGACGGATGATGATGATCATGATGATGGTGATGATGATCAGGATGATGATGATGATGATGGCGGTGATGATGACGGTGATGGTGATGGTGATGGTGATGTTGATGATTGACGATGCTTTTTCCCGCCCTCAATTAGACTCCGACCGTGGTTCGACCCACTCAGTCTCTACTTCGAGGGTCACCTTGAACGTGGCCCTCAGATGGGGGCCCTCCTGAACCATACATGTTCAGGACGGCGGCCTTCAACCATGGGTTTCCTCGATGCACTTCCACGTCTGCTCGACCTTCTTGACCCGCTGGAGGATCTCGATCAGGTAGTCGCCGCCGCGCGCGGGCTTCGTCTCGGGTTCGGCGCGCGCGGCCTCTGCCATGGCTCTCGGCGGGCTCGGAGGCGGCGGGCTCGGGGGAGTCCACGGGCCGCGACTCGTCTCGGCTTCGGCGCGCACGGCCTCGGCCTCTGCCATGGCTCTCGTCGGCAGGAGCGGGGGAGTGCGCAGGGCGCGACTCGTCTCGGCTGCGGCGCGCGCGGCCGTGGCCGCTGTCATGGCTCTCGGGAGCGGGGGAGCGCGCGGGGCGCGGGAACGCGGGCTTGACATCAGACCACAGCTTTGGGCCACTGGCAAAGGTATGCACACGTATCACTTATGCGGGGTCAGAGCGGATACGCGCACCGCTTCAGCGGGTGAGCCGCTGTGGCGAAACCACAATGACGATGCCAAAAAGGCGGGTGTCTGTGATTGTGATAATGTCGATGCGGGTGCAGGAAGGAGGAATGACATTTTTTGTCAAACCATCCTGTGGTGTTGGGCCCTCGTCGTCGTCGTCCTCCTCCTCCTCCTTCCCCTCCTCCTCCTCCTCCTCCTCCTCCCCACCTTCTAGTTCTAATTCAGAAGTCCCTGAGCCCCCTCGAGGCCCCTGATCCCCGACCGCGCCCCAGGGAGCAATGCCGCTCCGCGAGGGCGGGGAGGGCCGCGCCCTATTCATGTTTCACCGTGGTCGGAGACAGGGCCCCACCCCCATGTTTCACCTATTCATGTTTCCCACGTTTCACCCCCACCCCTGTGCCCCCGCCTTTCAAGGGAAGGGGGAAGCCTTCGTTCTCGAGGTCGAGGACATGGCAGCGGTGCGTAAGAGAGTGCGGCCGTTTCGGACATGTTTCCTTAATTGTGCGCGCTTAAAAAGGAGGGGGGTGGGGGGCCGATGGGACGACGACGGCGACGACGACGACGATGACGACGACGACGACGGCGAAAGGCCCCAGTGGCAGGGCTCGCTCGGGCCATTTCGGCACTCGGCACACCCCGCGCGAGGATCGTGGCCCCATAGGGAGCTCCACCGAAGGCCCCAGTGGCAAGGTTCGCATGGCGGCCTAGGGCCATTTCGGCACACCCCCCTCACGAGGGTCGTGGCCACAGGGAGCTCCACCGAAGGCCCCAGTGGCAGGGTTCGCATGGCGGCCTCGGGCCATTTCGGCACACCCCCGCCACGAGGACCGAGGCCCCATAGGGAGCTCCACCGACGGCCTCCGTGGCAGGGTTCGCATGGCGGCCTCGGGGCATTTCGGCGCACCCATCACGAGGATCGTGGCCCTGTGGGGGGCTCCACCGAAGGCCCCGGCGGCAGGGTTCGCAAGGCGGCCTCGGGCCATTTCGGCACACCCCTCACGCGGATCGTGGCCCTGTGGGGAGCTCCACCGAAGGCCCCAGTGGCAGGGTTCGCATGGCGGCCTCGGGCCATTTCGGAGCACCCCTCAAGAGGACCGTGGCCCCATAGGGGGCTCCACCGAAGGCCACAGTGGCAAGGTTCGCATGGCGGCCTCGGGCCATTTCGGCACACCCCTCACGAGGATCGTGGCCCTGTGGGGGGCTCCACCGAAGGCC